AGTTTGAAGTGTGGCTCTTATATAACTAGGTGGTTCGCCATTATCACAGTGTACTGTGAATTGTTGGTATGAGACGGCTGGAGGCAATTGGCAGGAAGACTTCCTCGACCTAGGTTTCGTGCTAGTTGGCACTTACCAGTCAGCAAGGCGTCATTCAGCGATGCAGTTAGAGAAGTTACCGACAGCCGGGTTCGAATCCCAGAAAGGACAAAGGTTCCTTCAATGATGAAGATACGCCTTGTTGACTGGTGAGTGCCAACTAGCACGAAACCTAGGTCGAGGAAGGCTTCCTGCCAATGGCCTCCAGCCATCTAATAGATAATAAGACCTAGTAAGTTATAGAATGGGAAAAAGTTCTAGATTTTTGTAAAACAAATGAGAAGAGGAATGAGATCTCATGATGAGAACGAAAAAGAAAATGCGAATACCTTTGCGTAACTTAGATACACTTTGAGGCATAATTAACTGTATTCTTCTCTTGTAGAGAGAGAGAGAGAGAGATCACAGGACCTACGTTAGTTTACGTTTGGCTCTGATTGATGATGTCAAAACCAGATTGGATTAAGAAACCAAGAGAGGCATTCACTACTCTAAAATCAGTGTGAAGAACTACGGTAATCACAAGGAAAAATATACGAAATCTTAAAACTGATGTCAAGTCGATGACGCATTTGTTATTTGGATCAGGGATTTTGCCCGCATGCCACCAGAAACATCCTCAATAGGCTGCAGACTTACGTGAACACCTATCCCCTTAGCTTGATGATGATAGTAAAGATCAGATAGTCAGCCGGAAAAGATAAGCAAAAAGGAACTCCAGCAGGCAAAAAGCTAACGAACTTTTTTATTATTATTCTGTTGGATTTCAAGTGGGACACACAGCTTCAACAGTACACCTCCATTTCATCCAGTTCTCTGAAGTCCTCTTTAGCTGTCTCCACGATTGCCCATAGGCCTCTTGTGTCCTCTTCATACGGTCTCCTCCATGCTATCCTCGGACGCCCAATGCGTCGTCTCCCATTCGGGTTCTATTCGAAGGTATGGCTAACTTGAGATGTCACCCAATGGTCTCCTCAGCGTATGTCCGATCCGTCTCCATTTTCCTCCTGATGGATTGACTCCAGAGGTATTTAAGTACGGTGGAAACAGTTTACTGTCTGCGTTAACTGAGGTTCTAGGCAGCGTCCGGGAATCAGAGGAAGTCCCATCGGGTTGATGTAAGTCACTGATCATCCCGATATACAAGAAGGGAGACAAGTCTTCTTGTGATAATCACAGAGGGATTAGCTTGACTAATATAGTATCTAAAATCCTAGGCTCAATAATACTGCGTAGACTAAATAGTGCTCGGGAGGCACAAACACGAGAAAACCAGGCAGGTTTTAGGCCAGGAAGAGGGTGTATTGATCATATCTTCACCCTTCGACAGATTCTAGAACATAGGCATTCCAAACGGCGTCCGACAATCATTATATTTCTTGACCTAAAGGCGGCACTCGATTCTGTCGACCGACAGGTTCTCTGGCGATGCTTGGCTGTGAAGGGAATGCCAAGAAAATACATTGCACTGATTAAGGCACTCTACTCGTACTCATGCAGCCAAGTGAGGGCTTATGGCGAGTTGTCATCTGAAGTGGCGACGACTAGTGGCGTCCGTCAAGGATGCCCATTATCCCCATTCCTATTCAACTTCATCATAGACGTACTAATGGACTTAACCCTAACACACTTCAGCGACTCAGGGATTGACTTGCTACCAGGGAATAATCTCGTCGACTTAGAATATGCAGACGATATAGTCCTTCTAGGCGAGGACGCTGACAAAATGCAGAGTCTTCTGAACACCTTGAGCTGCAATCTACGAATGTTTGGCATGCGATTAGCCCCTGTAAAATGTAAGATGATGTTACAGGACTTGACTACACTGACTCATAGTTTAGAAATAGGGAGTGAAGTGGTAGAGCACATTGACCGCTTCATTTACTTGGGAAGTACCATCAGCCCCAACGGGTTGATCTCCGACGAAATCTCAGCACGAATACAGAGGGCTGGGGTTCGCATATGCCAGCTTACGCCGTCTCTAGCGTAGACGCGATATCCGACTATTGACCAAAGGGCGTGTGTACTGCTCAACAGTCCGCTACGTCCTCCTTTATGGCTGTGAGACCTGGCCATTGAGAGCAGAAGACATGAAAAGATTATCTGTGTTCGATCATAGGTGTCTGCGTTCTATCTCCCGTGTGAAGTGGCATAATAAGGTGAGCAATATTGAGGTTAGGCGTCGAGTGCTAGGTAAGGAGGGGAAATCAATCGATGAGACTGTGAAATTACATCGACTGAGATGGTTAGGACATGTGTTACGTATGCCTAGTCATCGCCTTCCTTGACGGGCAATGTTAGCTGATATAGGGCCAGGCTGGAAAAGAGCTAGCGGCGGTCAAACGAAAACATGGCACCAGTCAATGAAATCTACAACAGTTAGTCTAAGCCACGTAGGAAGGTGTAGACTTCCTGACCAGTTGGGGTCCTCGGGACGGTAAAAACCAATGGTTGGAAATAATTGATGACATGGCTCAAAATCGTTCTCAATGGCAGGCGCAGATGCATCCACTCCTTGTGACTTATGATTTCCAATGAAACTATATTGTTCTTCGTTATTACTATTCCTTTGTCTCACACCTCTGTTTACAGACTATATTATGCATTTCTTCTACTTTCTTCTCTTGCTTTGTGTGCTACCAGGAGGGAGTGTGGCGACTTGAACTGCCGCACATATGTGCAAAGTTCTATGTCGAAAACCGACCGACCATTTCCCTCGACATAGTTGTACAGCAACAGCTTCTTGGTTGGTTTATTCCCAGAGTTTCTTGTTGCTAATTACTTTTGGCCACCCGTTTTTCAGTGTGGAGAGAAGTGGACAGCTGTTGATAAAGTCTACAGCAGTCTGTTGGAAGTGTTAACAACCTATTACCCAGCAAATATGTACAAGGAAATGGAGGTGGATTGGACATACGCTGAAGAGACATCAGTGTGGTATCTATCATACACCAGGCTGTTCAGTGAAATCCGAATGAGTTGAAGCGAAGCGGGTGTCTAAGCGTGAGTGGCGTGGAGATCGTGTGTGAGAAAGGAATGAAAGCTTGTGCACGGTCATGGAGCCAGTCGAAAGTGATTACAAAGAACCGAATGGAATGGAGGTGTAGCAGTGAAGTCATACGTAAATCCCGCCAAGAACACAAAGAATGAATAATGTAATAATAATAATGACAATAATAATACCTTTAAACCACTCTACCCAATTGACCAACATTCAGTAAATTAGTTTCATCGTCTCTGTACCTCAATTCTACTTCAGTGAACACTATCCATTGGGGGGGGGGGGGGTATTGGATGCGTAGGTGTGTATATTACATGTCTTATCCTCATCAGCTGATTTAAATCTGCTGCGAAGATATTAACTATAACTTATAAAACATTGCTTGATGAACTGGATTATGCGTCAGACAGTAGGAAACGAGAAGACAGGGATATCCTGGACCGAAGACCTGGATTTCGCCGATGATTTATGTTTCATGTCACACAAAATCGAAGACTTACAAGCGAAAACCGACAAACTGCTCGAAGGAGCAGCCAGCGAAGACAGGAATCCAGGTGAACATAGACAACACGGAGGTTATGAAAACAACCAACCAACAACAACAACAGCAACATCCAGCGCCAATCACCATCAACGGGAGACATTCAAAAGAGGTTACTTCATTCACTTATCTAGGGAGCATTGTCTCAGCTACAGGAGGAACTGACGAAGATGTCAAATCCAGAATCGGGAAGGCGAGAAACACATTCATCAACCTGAAACCAATCTGGAAATCTTCGTCACTCTGCATCAACAACAAAGTGATTCGGATTTTCAATACAAACGTCAAGTCAGTCAGTTCTTCTATACGGATCACTTGGAACCTGGCGGGTCACAAAGAATATTTCCAACAGCCTGTTGCAGACCTTTATCAACAACTTTCTTCACTCTATACTACTCAAGATCAGATGGCCGGAAAGAATCACCAACAAGAAACTATGGGAACAAGCAAAACAAGAACCAATCGCCCAACAAATATGCAGGAGAAAGTGGAGATGGATTGGACACTCGCTGAGAAGGCCGCTGGGTGACATCGCGCGTCAGGCCCTCTAGTGGAACCTGAAAGGGAAGCAGAGAGTGGGACGTGCAAGGGTGACATGGAGGAGATCGTGTGAAGAGGAACTGAAACAGTATGGACTAACATGGATGCAGGTGAAACGTACAGCAGAAGACAGAAACAAGTAGAGACGTGCAGTTGAAGCCCAAGGGAACAATACTAATAATAATGAACTCAAGACAAATAAACTTTTAGTGTCAGCGAACATTAAGAGAACTAAATAGGGACCACCATTTTCTAGACACTAGTTTCTTATAGTTATGCACATTCCCATCAACGTCCAGGTACGACCTAGAGTCAGTAGCCTTCAGTATTCCTCTCGAAATGTTCTCATGTGGCCACACGTTTATAGCCTATGCCACGTAGGTCTTATTCAACGACTCCATGCGTTAATTCGAGTGTTCCTACGACAGTTAAACGGTGAATGCGAACATCTGGCGCTTACAACCGGACTAGTAAATCTGTTAGTCTATCTAGGGGAGTTGGAAAACCCTGATTCGAAAACTTGTGTACATGGACTCCAAAATCCATCCGAGCAGATCGAATATTGTCTGAACCCATTCTACTTACAAGAGACTATGGGAACACAGCTCGTGACATTGCTCCACTGTCTTGTGGATCAGACTTCAAGTCAAAGGACTCGGTGTGATGGTCCCTTGAGATAGCTGTCTTCTTCAATGTGGTGGGCATAGACTATGAGATTTTGTGTAACGTATCTTTTGATGCCCATAATGTACAAAGTTATTACTTTAATAAATCAAGTATGAAAAACAAGCAAGAAAATGAATCCACAAATAATAAACTTACGTTTTCACTCGCATACAAATATTCAGGAAGCCTTCTTCTTCAATCATAATATCAGCTTCGTCTAATACAAACATGACTATTTTAGTAGGATCAATACGATATTGTCCTGTACCACGAAACCAATTTGCAATTGTACCCGGTGTACCAATAACAATTTGATCACTGACAAATCCATCGGAATTAATATTGGCTAAAATAGAAATTTTGACAATAGAAACAATGTGAATATATATATATCTTGCAATAAGTGTAACTAGTAAAAGAAAATATATGTATCTTTTTCAGCTGATGTTTATTGTCTATAGGTATGGGGTGTATGCTTCGCGCCAAGTGCAAAGTACTGTTGCAATATTGGCAGGAGTCTGTAACTGAACTCCACCTTGCAAGTGAACTCCGCTTGAAGTAGTCAATAAGTTTAAGTAGTTAGGTAGTTGCGTGAGTGATGGTTGAAAACTCTATTCGTATAGTGGAAGCCACAGAAGTATACACCATCTTGGGCTATCTCTGGTGCCGTCAACCTAGCAGTCAAAGAGCGGGTTTACAATGTTTCGGTGCCAGCATTGTAGCTCGACGCTTGTGAAACTCGACTTCTCCGAGCTAAGGATGTGTGGTGACTCCACGTATTTGATAGTCACCATCTAAGTAGGATTGCTTGTGTCCTATGCAGTCATTGTGTAAGTAATCCTGAGGTCCAGTGGCGTGTGTTTGGACACGGTGGAGGTTACCATTCATTGAGCGTTGTCATATGGAAATACTGGCTTCGACAACTTCGATTTGTGCCAAGACTGTCATCCCAGGAGCTCTTGTACCGGTCTCTGTTCGCTAGTCCTGGATATTACATAGAAAAAGCCGAGAGGTGGTCAACTTATGAAGTGGCGTGGTAGGGTGAAGGGTATTTCATGTATAATCCACATCCAGGCATTAATGAAAACAAAACACGTAGATCAGCGAAGTCTCTTTTCGGCGAATTCATTTTCTTAGCTGTACAATCGCGAATATATAGATATATATTATTTTGTATGCATGTGTACATTAAGTTTGTCAAACAAAAATACAATTGGTTGTGGTTATTTTAACTAAACAGGTGAAGATTGGTAATTGGAGTTACGTAATAGCAAATCAGTCAAGAAAATTAAGTGTTAATGAAATTATTGTAGTAACAAAGGTGATGAGTTATCACAAACAGTTGTTAAAAAAAAATTAATAAAAATTACAATTAGGAATAAGAATGCTATAATAAACAGGGGGATGGGTAAAACTCAAACAAAGTAGCATAATAACTAAGAAAATTGACATTGTGCAATAGGGGGTTAGAAATGTAAAAATAACAAAATATACAGGATGTTTGGATAAGAAACTAGTGTGATGAATAATTGTTTATGCAATCAGGGATTAAATATGTAGAAATAATAAAATGACAAAATAAACAGGAAGTGTGGATATGAAAATATGGTAGTGTAGACAGGGATTAAGAAAACTTAAAATAACATGAATAAACAGGAAGTTTAGATAAGAAAGGCGATGGGGTGGTCATTATTAAAAAATTTACCTGTTTACGATGGCCATGGCAGGGACAGGGGTTGGATGTATTTCTTTTGGACACAAAGGGTGGGTTTGAGTTTTTGGATAGCTAACGCCTCAGCTATGCCCAAATGTCTTGATTTCACTCCCTTTGACAGGTTTGATTGAATTTTGTATATTACTTTGAAGGACTTTTCGAAAGGCGCTGAATGTCCTGAGTTGACCAGATGTTCTGTCACTGGACTGTATACACGTTTTTGCTCTCCTTTTACCAGCCAGGCTGGGTAGTGTTCACGAGCGCGTTTTCCAAGTTGGCGCATGGTTCGGCCGATGTACTCAGCTCCACAAGAGCAAGTGAACTGGTATATGCATGTTGAGGTGGCCCAATGCGACAGCTTGTCTTTCGCGTTCTGGTTGAACAGTTTCTTGCAGGAAAACGTCAGTCGTAGGCTTGCGGCGAAGTATGTTTTCCTCAGCGATTTGGAGAGGCGTTTGCGAAGGATTTCCGCTTCGATATCACCTTTGAATTCTAGATTAAGCAGAAGTATTTTCTTTGGGACGGATTGGACTTGTTCAGAAGTCTTCTTAGGTTTGAGATTCTTGTCTATGAACCTGGGCGGGAAACCGTTTTCCATCAGGGTTTTCCGGAGATTACGCAGTTCTTCTTCGATTACTTCCTCGCTGCATATCTTCCGAATCCTCGAGGAAAGAGCGTGTATCAGGTTCCTCTTTCTGCTTAGCGGTACGAAGCTTTGAAAGTTGATGAATTGTCCAGTCCATGTAGGCTTTTTGTATATGGACCTTTTCAAAGAGTCGTTGTCATTTCTTGTCAGATGGACGTCCAGGAAGTGGAACACTCCGTCGGATTCGGTTTCAAGTGTAAAGTCGACGTTTGGGTGGGCGTTGTTGAAGATTTGGAGTAGGTTTTCAAGGTCTAGCTTCTCATCACAAATGATGAAAGTATCATCAATGTATCTCTTGTAAAGATGAAGGCCGTCGATAGTTGATGATAAGGGGTTGTTTTCGAGGCTGGCCATAAAACAGTCGGCTAGGAGTGGTCCGAGTGGAGAACCCATTGCTACGCCATCTGTTTGCCTGTAGATTTCATTGTTGAATCTGAAGTAGACGCTGACGGTGCAGCGTAGTAACAGCTCCTTTAGATAATGCATCGGTATGCCGACATCTATGCTGTTGCATTGGATGAAGTCACACAGAAAGCATATAGTTTCTGTCAGAGGAACATTGGTGAACAGAGAGACGAAGTCTAGGGAGACCATCTTTTTATTTGCGAGGTTGACATTTTTAATTGAATCCACGAAATCGAATGTGTCGCGGAGGTTGTGTCTAGACAACTTTTCTTTCACTGGTCCAAGAATTTCTACCAGCCACTTCGCGATTAGGTGATATGGCGAATTGATCATATCTAATATTGGGCGGAGTGGGACGTCCTTCTTGTGCACTTTGGGTAGTCCATACATTCGTGGCGATGTAGAACCAGATGGGCGAGGTTTTTCATATAGTTCTGTATTGATAATCGGTTCATCTTTCATTTTTTTCAATAAGTTGGTTAGCTGGAGCTCCGTCTGTTCAGTTGGATCTTTTCGGGTCGTCTGTTTTTGAAATTTGCTGTCATCAGATAGAATTGACGAGAGTTCCTTCACATAGTCTGACTTGTTAAGCAGAACAATTCCAGAACCTTTGTCTGGTCGAGTTATTATCAGGTTTTCATTTGATTTCAATTCTTTGAGTTGCTTTCGATGTTCTTTTGAAAGCATATTGCGAAGTCTAGGTTTTTTGTTGATGTAGTCGAGGCAGCAATTCAAAACAGTTGATTTGAAGTGTTCTGCACTTTCATATGAAATTGGGACTAGATCATTCGTCTGACTAATCAAATTCTCGAATTGTACTTTGGTGTTCAATTCATTTACTTTTGATGATGCATCACAAAATTTTGGTCCGAGCGACAACAGTTGCATTTGAATCGGTGAAAGTGAGACGTCAGAAAAATTGAATACATATTTCTCGGGACAAGATGGGAAAGCTGTTTCCTTGGTGACTGATTTTAGGCTTTGTTTAAGTTTCATGATGATATTTTCCTTTCTCTTCTCTGAGACTGTATTGGCGTAGTGTTCGAATGACGCCCGTTCATCAACAGTTAAATCATAAAGAACGTGGGAGCTCATTGAGACGTTTTGTTCCAGTTCAGCTGATCTGGATCGAACGGCATCAATGTGATTCTGGGTGTGTCTTCTGAGCGTGCGTGAATTAGGAGATATATGGTTTCGTCTCAAATTTTTTCAGAATGCTTTCGGGTATTCATGCTCATCCAGACAGCTTTTCCAGAAGGACTTCGTCGAAAAGAAAATTTTCTTCGCTTGAACTGTCTTTTTATTCCCTATGATCAAATGTGTATATTCCGTGATTTGAAAACGAGCAAAGACCGTTCGACGGCAAAGGAACTGAACAAGTTTCTACGTTTGTCCGTCAAGGTTGCTGAAGCGAATGCGAAGATTTCCTTCTGGAAAAGCTGTCTGGATAAGCATGAATACCCGAAAGCATTCTGGAAAAATTTGAGACGAAACCATATATCTCCTAATTCACGCACGCTCAGAAGACACACCCAGAATCAAATTGATGCCGTTCGATCCAGATCAGCTGAACTGGAACAAAACGTCTCAATGAGCTCCCACGTTCTTTATGATTTAACTGTTGATGAACGGGCGTCATTCGAACACTACGCCAATACAGTCTCAGAGAAGAGAAAGGAAAATATCATCATGAAACTTAAACAAAGCCTAAAATCAGTCACCAAGGAAACAGCTTTCCCATCTTGTCCCGAGAAATATGTATTCAATTTTTCTGACGTCTCACTTTCACCGATTCAAATGCAACTGTTGTCGCTCGGACCAAAATTTTGTGATGCATCATCAAAAGTAAATGAATTGAACACCAAAGTACAATTCGAGAATTTGATTAGTCAGACGAATGATCTAGTCCCAATTTCATATGAAAGTGCAGAACACTTCAAATCAACTGTTTTGAATTGCTGCCTCGACTACATCAACAAAAAACCTAGACTTCGCAATATGCTTTCAAAAGAACATCGAAAGCAACTCAAAGAATTGAAATCAAATGAAAACCTGATAATAACTCGACCAGACAAAGGTTCTGGAATTGTTCTGCTTAACAAGTCAGACTATGTGAAGGAACTCTCGTCAATTCTATCTGATGACAGCAAATTTCAAAAACAGACGACCCGAAAAGATCCAACTGAACAGACGGAGCTCCAGCTAACCAACTTATTGAAAAAAATGAAAGATGAACCGATTATCAATACAGAACTATATGAAAAACCTCGCCCATCTGGTTCTACATCGCCACGAATGTATGGACTACCCAAAGTGCACAAGAAGGACGTCCCACTCCGCCCAATATTAGATATGATCAATTCGCCATATCACCTAATCGCGAAGTGGCTGGTAGAAATTCTTGGACCAGTGAAAGAAAAGTTGTCTAGACACAACCTCCGCGACACATTCGATTTCGTGGATTCAATTAAAAATGTCAACCTCGCAAATAAAAAGATGGTCTCCCTAGACTTCGTCTCTCTGTTCACCAATGTTCCTCTGACAGAAACTATATGCTTTCTGTGTGACTTCATCCAATGCA